AATGAATTTGTCGGGGAATTTTGTTATTACAAAATAATAAAATTTTGTGTTAATTATGGGATTCTTTACAAAAAAAGGATAATGTATTAGAAAACCATATAAGTTAAGCGTATACAACACCTCACACATATGGTAGCACTGCTCGCACTAAATTTGTAATCCGTAAAAATTTACAGCTTAGTTATGCATGCTTGAATTGTACGGTACTCTCGTGCTCGAGATTTTATTTTTCCCCGACAAACCTGCTGGAAATTCCCAGGAAGAGGGTCCTAAGCGGGGTCCATAGTCCCCGACAGGGGGTCTTTAATCACTACACCCCCCGCTAGCACAACCCCCCTCCACCGGGTCCACCCACCTCAACCAGCCCAAAAATGGTTGAAGCTGAGGAAAGAAGTTATGATTATGATCTCGATGGCAGGAAGTAGAACTATGAGTCTCAAATTTAATTATAAATTACTAATGTTTATTTAAGAAAGTATAATACATACTCCAAGTATTGAAATACACGCCATCGTGTTGGGATTCAATATTTCGACATTAATTATGTCATCACCATTCCTGATGATGACATAATTAATGTCGAAATATTGAATCCCAACACGATGGCGTGTATTTCAATACTTGGAGTATGTATTATACTTTCTTATCTGAGATTAATCAGTGGACCTTTCGGTTAATGTTTATTTTTTCTTCATTATATTTGATAACTTTTTAAAATTTATTGGGTGGGGGCGGCTCGGTCGCCTTTGAATCCGCAACTTGGGGTCTATAGGACCTCGGCCCCAACACAGTTGGGGCTTAGGTAAGAAAATTAGGATTATTGCACCGGAAATTTTAGTGAACCTATTGAAAGAGATGATGAGTTTGTACGTGGCGAGTTATTGACACACGAGCGGCGGGGAAAAACACTCAACTTCTTAAAGCACAGTTAAAAGTCCTTGCTTGTACGACAAATTAGAGGCAGTCCTAGTTAGAAACTAGATTAGTCAAGGTGTTTTGTTGGATGGATTTCTGAACGTGGAGAGTGTGTCTTGATTTTTTTTTTCATTTTCGAGGCTAAGAAAAAATAAATTGTTCGCCGAAAAGGCCTCATATGTTATTTTCGGGCGTCTAGAACAAAGAAGTTTCTCCCTAGGGTATTGTTATGTCGATCGGCCAAACTTTCGGGCCCCCTCTCTGGACCTGGCTCTGAATTTTTCCTAGCCGTTAGAGAAAAAGCCATTTTTGTTGTCCTAATTGTTTTCTTCTTCTTGCATAACATTTTTCCTGTCTTTTTGAACAGGGGTTTTCTGCCCGGCACTTTGGTCACTTTCCATGCTTGGATCTTTTCCAAATTTTGTCCAAACATAGACCATATTATACCAAAGATGTACCTCATAAAATTTAGAATTTGTGGCAAAGATAATCCAAGCCAGTCACTCGTCGCAAAAATCGATTTTTAGTTTACAGGGTAAAAAAGTAAAATGACAGCTGTAAGCTGGTAAATAATCATTTATATCCGACTTTTCGTTATGAAGTTACAGGAGTTTCAACATACACCTGTTTAAAAAACAATAGAGAAATCAGCCTTCATAATTTATGATTTGGGCATTTCTCAGGCAGAAACCAGAGATCGGTATAAAATTATACCTCCCTGAAGAAACCATCATCAAATCAATAAAAATTGTTGTTTTAACATTGAAAATGGAGAAAATAACAGCATAGCATGATAAAGGTTAGTTTAGTGTAAAAAAATGTTGACATTCCAGCATGTTTCGGCTATTATCTCTGAAACAGGATTTGCGACGAGTGACTGGTTTGGCTTGTCTTTGCTAGTACAATTAGTGACAGTGGTGTGTGGATGCGAGGACCAATTTAACCAAGTTACAATGAAAAAGCTATTATGTTTCAGTGACGATCCAGTTTAGGGTGAAAATGTTAGGGTCATTTTAATTTCTGACGTCCCAAGCTTAAATATAATATATGTAAGAAGCTATCAAAGGATCTAAATTAAACTTTCTATAATACTAATTTGTCATGGTCCAAAAAAGAAATTATTAATTTTGATGACGATCCGATAACTATATGGAGTGGATATGCACTGTAAGAGAAAATAAATGAGATGAGAAGCAGGAAAATTATTTAAAAAAATGAGGACAATAGGCCCAATATACAAATATGAGAAAGATAACAAAATAACAACAGGGAAATGAAATGAAGATAATTATGAAATGAAAATAATGGAGGATAAAAATGAACACTAGAAACACATATTTCTGTTTTCTGATAACTAAAATTCATTAAAAAAATCTATCTGTTATTATGTGGCCCTGGAAAGAAATTGACATGCGGTCCAATACAATCACAACTGTTCTTATCGAAATTGCTCATCCAAGTCCGATGATATTTAAACATGCACAAACACTACTAAGAAACTAACTTCTATTGTTTGGCGTAACGGTCATTTTGAAAGTTACGGTACAAATATTTGATAATACTTGCCTTTTAATAGTTTAGTTGATATATACATCACGGAAATACACTATGAACACAGCAAGTTATGGAGGTTTCTGCTAGAATACAGCCTATCGACCATGTCCGCCGTTATTTCACGTGGTCACTCTGGCATTGCATTGTCTATACAGGTGGTACGTCCAAAATATTAAGTGAAAATGGCCTCAAGAACGCTGAAGCACGTACTATACTTTTACTATAAAAATAAGAAAATATGTATTGGTCTAACATACTTTTGCAAATTTATAAAACTGCATAGGCCTACCTCATCACATCAAAAATCCTTTTCGAAACAAGCCGGCGTTCGTTCAATTCTATTTCGATCATGCCACGCACACCTACAAAGAAACTGACTCGTATTGTATGGTGACGGAACTCATATAAAAATTGCAATTGTTTTAGTATAGTTCAAAACATATACAATACTTAGGCCTATCTCGTTTTGTTGATACGTACGGTACATCACGAATATATCCTGTAATCATAAAAAAAAATTATGGCGTCTTTTTCTAGACGTGCAGCTTGTCCACCATATCCGTCGTCAGCTCACGTCACGTGGTTCTCTGGAATTTCAGATCTGCTATACACAGGTGGGTGTATCCCTAGGATATCAGGTGAAAATGGCCAAGATGTGTATAAGAGACAGCCATAATACTGTACAAGTAACATATATATATATATATATATATATATATATACATACATACATATACATATATATATATATAAATAACTAGTACTGCCATTTATTAATGACATCATTATGTGTACATCTAATTGCTTTTATTAATCCATAAAATATCAGTAAAATGAAATATAAATCAAAAATGTAATCTTAATACCCATAAGCCATAAATGCGATGAACCTTGCACTACCTATGTACCAGTCAGTCGACTCCGAGACTACTACCTGACTCCGAACTTGCACATGACTAAGCAAGGTCTTGGCACTACATTTTTAAGTAGGCCTACAAAATAAAAATAATAAAAATATTCAAAACAATTGCTATTAATGATTATTAATGAATATTATCTTAAGTTCGTTTTATTTTAAAAATTATGTTAAAAAATAGATTATAAAATATTCAAATTAGATATTTTATCGTGTGTTCTATCTGACACACATATAAGGCCCCAGGTTTCGACCGCAATGTAATTTCATAAGTAAGATGATACCTGAAAGTTGTTGAAATGAACTGCATACATGACTCAGGTTTTAACGAAAAAGCGCTATACAGCCTGAGTACAGAACTGTACATATATTATAGCAAGATACCGGTATCACTAACGTCTGAAATACCTATAATGCACGACTCGAGTGTGCGTGCTTGTGTTCAATAATTTGAGAAGTATGAGAAAAAGTATAAGATTTTCAGCACACGAAGTTAGGTAGGTAGATTAAAGTAAATACATTAAAGACAATTAAGTTCTATTTTCTATGGTGCAATACAGATTAATTAGATCTCTATGATAGCCAAAAATCGCTGTTAAAAGATAATGGTGATATTATGATGATGACTTACTATATAAGAGTGTTATTTACGGCCAGCTTGAAGTACTATTTCCTCAAATTTTCGCACCTCAGCCTCAACCATAGTGGGGCTGGTGTGGGTGTGTCTATATATATTAACACTACCAACAGTGATACCAAACGTAATTCCATCATATGTGTAGCACCATAATCTCTATTGTCAGCAGCAGTAACATTTGGAATTCTACTACCATCACCACCCGTGAGGCACCATAATCTGTAATGGTAGCAGCAGCACCATTTCAAATGCTAGTACCATCAGCATAGTGTAAAAATCTGTATTGGTAGCAGCACCTACAGTCGTCACTTTGTGGGCCTTTTATCAGCAATATAAGAATACAAGGACACTACGAGAAGGAGCTTAGTGGCAGGTTCATCTACACCACCGCATCATCTCCATTTTCATCATCATCATCATCAAAATCATCATCATTAAAACTTTCCCATCGTATTATCATCATCATAATCATCATATTGTTGTCATCAATATTTGTAATAACTTCAATATTACTTACAGGTATCCTAAAGAATTGCAACAATTAAAATAATATGGATTTGCATTTCGTAGCAACAAAGTTTTACTCAATTATCGGAATAAAACGCAGGATAAAATTTCCAGCACACATTTCAATTTTTTATTTTGATAAAAACCAATCATATAAAATTATTTGTTCTACAAAACTGACAAAAAAAACCTAGATATTTAAAAATGATCATATAATTATTATTTTTTCAAATGATTGCGCTTCTGTTACAGTAAACATCTCCTAGATTCAAACCAATAGACCTTTCTGGAGTGTCAATCAAACTTAACAACTGACTAATCAGAACAGCGCTAGAAATGCACGCGCATCTTACAAACACACGTGTTGTCCCACAAACGCACGTGTTCGCGTATGTTTTAACACTGCCGTTTGTGTGACCTTAGCAACAATATCCAAGGGGCGGAGCTTAGCGGAAAGGTCCATTATATGAGGCTTGCCATTCCAAAAACTAGCATCAGTGACAAAAAAATGAAAATTGACTTTTTATAATAATTATTCTTCTCATTGTAAGTTTTGAAATGATGGGTCATTTTCTGGAATTGACTTACTATTGCCAAAATTACGAGTAAAGTATTACAGGTTCTCTGTACTAAAGAATAAAACTGCCACGTTCTTATGCTAATTACTCAGTTTAACATTTAGCGACAGTATACGCTGGTTTCAGGATGGAATGCTTCATATTTTACCTGCTTTGTAGCATTGTCACAAAGTACAGTCACTTATACAAATCCTCAGCTTAATGTTACTTGCACAATATTAATTATCATATTAACGTAAACAATTTAATTAACAACAATTTTTATATAACACGGCAGGAGCAAGATTTTAAAGAACAGGGGTACAATGGTTTCCCATTTTGAAAGTATTTTATTTATAAAGGACATTTTTTATTATTTTAGATACTCTACATGATAACCGTCTTCCAAAACATCTGTCAATGATGCCTGGATTCCATAAAATTGCTTTGGTTGTTTGAATCAGGCAGCTTTCCCAACTGCTACACAGTGTTAACGATTACAGTGAAAACACTGAAGCGACAATGTAACGCTTCAGTAGGCTGAAGCGACAATGTAACGCTTCAGTAGGCCCGAAACAAAACTGTTTTGCTGCCTAAAGCTACGCTTATGTCAGCCTTGCAACTCAACCAACTGATGTCAGCTATCGAGCAACTGTGAGTCACACGATTTGAGGCACATAAGCCAGTTGCTTTCATTCACCTATGTTCTATTTTTCTGCGTTTATTAACTGCGTACGCTGTGTGCGTTAAGGTTGTAGTATCCAAAGTATGGTAGCTTGGCCATTTAGTTGGATGTAGCATAGGCCTAAGTACTCTGGGCAAATAGTTTGATCTAGATGCTTCATTGGAAGTTAAAAGTTGACATGAGTGCTCTCAGCAACTTTTTTTGACATAAGCTTTAGCTAATTAATATACAAGGGTTGGTCTGATTTTTTTTTACTAAAGACCTAGACCTAATTCTAGGGTTCATTATCAACCACCACCCTCCCCTTGTATTTTGGTTGATATCAGTAACTACTGGGCTAAAATCTAAGGAAAAGGTATGAAAATAATATAATTTGAAAAGTGTTCTTAATTTTGCGAAAAAAGCTGAAAGTAAATTTTCTAAATTTTGGACTGGTTGTGCTTGGCCTTATTGTCTATTTTTTTTATTGCACAAATTCTCATTCATACATACTCATTACAGTGTGACCCATAAACATACTATAAAAACAATAACAAAAACATAGAAAATCTGATGGTTTATAAAAGGAATTAAATATAAAAATCTTTGATTGGAATTTTTTACACTTTTTTTAACATACAGTATACCTAAAGATTGAAGTAAAACATTTTCATTATCAGAAATGTTTGTCATTATAAATTATTTTGAACATTACCTTTAACATGAAGCTAGGCTAATGGCTTCTCTATTCCTAGTGACCCTTTAACCTGGTTAAAAGGTCAACAATTATTCACATACAGTAAATATAGCACTCAAGCTTTGACAGAAAAATATCTCCAGATACGAAATGCTACATTGGAAGAAAGGCACATTAAAGAGTGAACCCTGAAAATTTCATTGGGTAGTTTTAGCAGACAATCACCAATTTGTAACATACATTAATTGCATTTCAGCCAGGCTTTTCTCAAGTGGTGATAGGAATCGCCCGATTTGAAATGTTACATTGGAAGAAGGCACATTAATGTGTAAACTCTGACAATTTCATTGGTTAGTTTTAGCAGACAATCACCGAGTCATACCAAACATTATTTGAATTTCAGCCGGATTTTCTCAAGTGGTGATAAGAATCGCCAGATTTGAAATGTTACATTAGAAGAAGGTACATTAACGTGTAAACTCTGGCAATGGTTAGTTTTAGCAGACAAACACCGAAACATACCAAACATTATTTGAATTTCAGTCGCATTTTTTCAGGTGGTGATAAGAATCTCCAGATTTGAAATGTTACATTGGAAGAAAGGCACATTAACGTGGAAACCCAGGAAGTTTCTTTGGTTAGATTAAGCAGACAATCACCAAGTCCTACCAAACATTATTTGAATTTCAGCCGGATTTTCACAAATGGTGGTGATAACTCCAGATTCGAAATGTAACATTAGAAGAAATGTACATTAACATGTGAACAATTTCATTGGTTAGTTCTAGTAGACCATCATCAATTCGTACCGCACATTATTTGGATTTCCGCCAGCGGTTTCTCAAGTAGTGATGGGATTACAGTTACCCTTTAAGCATGAGCAGCTTGAAGTGAACTACCTGATGCATGTGGGGATATCAAAAGTGCTGCCTCTGTGTCTATGGACATTTCATGTCTGCTATTGTCTGCTCCTAGAATTTGAGTTTCCAGCACATACGCACTGATGCTTCCGTCTCCTTGATTCTCCACCACTCCGATCTTACTCTTTGTTTTCTTGTTGTTCTTAGTTTCTGGGTCAGACGACTTCTGTTCAAGGTGTATAGTTTCTAGGTAATCAAACCCAGGGCCGAAGTTTGGGGGGATAGGGTCATCACTCCAGCTGACAAACTGAATCTTTATGGCTAGTTTCTGGTACATTTGTCTATAAGAAAGAATAAAAAAACATGGTATAAATTTAAACGAAAATGATTTTTTTTTATAATGTTGGCTATTTAAAATTAAGTATTGCCTATATGTCAATTTATTATCAATTGCAACAATTTCAGTGAAAGTCTACAGTACAACTATTACTGATTTTCATACACTGGATATATAGATTATGATCTATATGATTGAAAATAATAAATTTTAGTTTTTAAAATTTTCTGTTACTGTATGTATACCCATGTCATAGCTAAATTGAATTAGTGTACAGCAGGGGTTTTCAACTATATCACAATAGGGGCCAAAATTGTTCATGGAATAAATTTTAAGGGCCAGGGCAAGATAAGTACTTTGGCGTGTAGCACCAACCGGGTGCCGCAGTTGCGAGCCGGGGATAGGGTTTATGAGGGGGTGTCTCCCCATCCCAAATTAGGAATTTTTGAAAGTAATAAGCCACTAGACCCTCATACAGGGCATCTTTACCAAAGAAATTTACCCTTGCCGTATACGAGACTACACACTGCAGGCAGCAGTGCGCCGCCATGTTATTGCATAAGGCAGATTAGACCTGAAATATCAAGCGGCTGTGCGGGAGGCCGAAAGCTGTCTCTTATACACATCTAGATGTGTATAAGAGACAGCTCCTAGATACCTAGTCGGCAAACAGAATGCAAAATTGTAAAAGTTGGAAATCTAGGCCCAGCCTAATGGAAAATGTTATTTTCGGCTTGTTCTTGCAGGCTGCATAACACGCACTCAACTGCCAGTTGAGAAGGCCTGGTGTACAATATGTAAATTTCATGTTTCTTGTAAAATAGCGGCAAAGTTCATCATTGCCTTTGTTTTGCTGTTTCTTTTTTGTATATTCTGTCAATGCTTTGGAAACACTTACTTTGAAATTCCCCGGCAGTACAACATCGTCAGGTTCTTCAAGCGCTTGCATCCCTTCCGTAGAAACTTCAATGCCCGGTCCGTGACGCAGAAACAGCCAGAGATGTCAAGGGTCATGAGGTAATGGCAGACCCCGGACAGGTACTGAAGACTCAGATCGTTCAACTGGTGATAAAATAAATAATTCCACATAAGTCAAAATGTACATAAAACCTGGTATTAATTGTCTTGTCTGACATTTGTAAGGTGATTGAAGATGGCAGATTGTCTTAGGCGTGTTAAATTAAAGGGGTTTTTATGTTCTGAATGCCTATAACAATGGTTACACCAATTTTCTACATCTGATTAGATTTTTTTCCCACTAATTATTTATGAAGACAAAAATCGCTGTCATATAAAGAGTGATTCAATGAATAGCAGAGAAAGACTTCATTTGAAAACCACTCCCACCAGTTCTACTCTGGAAATATTTTTCCAGATATCCGAAATGTGTTCTCTGTTCAAGCTTTACTACAGCATTTCTACAACTAAAAATCTGTTAAACCAAAAGGTGCCCTGGCTATGTTCAGATGAAGTAAATAGAGACAGCAAGGCCATATTAACTCAAAGTTTTGACTTTATCAAGTCATCATCAGGAATTAAAATCTGTTACAAACCTGAAAGGCAAAATGCATTCTCTTTCAAACATTCACTTCCAAGCCAAAATAATAATTTTAATACATTTACAGATATCTATTATAAAGTCATAAGTACAATTTGAGAAATCTAATTTTAGCTCATGGCATGGTATATATTAACACTTTATGGTTATAATTATATGTAGTACAATTTTCCATAGCTTGATTTGAATTGAAGTGGCATAGTTTAAAAATGCATACATATGTATATATTCCTATGGGAGTTTGACAATTTTTTTTTGCAACACAAAATCAGTTCACAGACATAAAATATTGATAATTGCAACCATATCTTGTCAGGTACTGATATATGTATAGCGTTGACAAGATGAAGTGAAAATTATGTGGCAAAATGTATTGAAATTATCATAATCATGTTCTCACATGTAATCACTTTCATCATTAAAATATTCTTTTTCAACTACTTCTACCAAAAGGAACATAAAATAAACATTAAGTGTTTTTTCCCCTTTTTTCATATAAAAAATAAAATGCCATCAGTGTCATGGCTACATTTTTCAAGCTTATCTTGGCCTTTAAAAAATGCAACAATGGCCGATTTGACTGGTCGTTCTTTGTTAAACCTCGCCCACCATCGCAGTAAGATAAACTTTATTGTCCATCGAATATGTGGAAATTCATGGTCCATTTGGCGTAAAAATACAAAAACATCAATTAAATTACATCACGATTTAATTGGTAAAAACCCTACTTAACAAAGACGACCACTCGAATAGTTATACTGTGATACACATTGCGTAATCAAGGTTGCTTTGGCTTGTGGCAGCATGCGTTCATAAAAAAAATGTTTTCATCCAGTTTTTAAATTCTGTTAGCCTACAATTATTTTTTGACTTCATGTGGTTAAATATTATAATTTTTATTTTTTGAAATTTAACCTAAATTATATTAATGCAAATGTTGCTAAACTGACCAATCGGCCATGTTTGTTTTGGTCATAACTCAACACTGACTAACGCACACTCTGCTTTACGTTAGTTTTCTTTGTCAACGAAGTCTATTTTACAAACCAGTCGAATGAAAATAATACTCAACGAAAAATTGTAGTCAACGAAATGAACCAGTCGAATAGTCCATTTTGTTTCAATAAGATGTTTACGTTGTACCACGGACCTATTAATAATTAATAGGTCCATGGTTGCACTATTCATTTTAAAGGTTGTATTATTTTGATTGCTTTTTTATGTGGCAAAGACAAGCCAAACCAGTCATGCTATGCTGTTTTATCCCCATTTTCAATGTTAAAACAAACATTTTTAATGATTTGGTATGGTTTTTGGCTGAGAAATGCCTAAAATCATTAACTTTTAAGGCTGATTTCTCAAATAATATTGTTTTTTGAACAGCTGTACGTTTAAACTCTGTTACCATTAATAGCTCTTACTTTACTGTTTAAAAACACTGTATTAATAACTAAAAAAAATCAATTTTTCTGACCAGTGACTGGTTTGGCTTGTCTTTGCCACATATGTGATTGTGAATTTGTGATTGCAGATAATTGCCTTCAATGACTCAAGTAGCATTAAATAATTGAATCTTGTTAAACTTGCCATACAGTACTTCATTAAAAAAAATACAAATATAAAAAAAATTTAAAAATAAATAAAGTATGTTTTAAAGACATGTGGGAAATACATCATTGATAGCCAATCCCAAACTCTTCTTGTTAGTTACTATTTAGTTGACTGTGATAAAATTAACCCAGTAACTAGGGAACCTGTTCTAGGGCATGGAAATATTTATGAGAATCAGTGTATAAAGTAGAAATCAATAGAGAACATTAAATGTTAATTAACAAAATTAATTTAAAGGTGAATTGATACCACATCCTGTATAAACGTTTACTTAATAAATGTAAACATTGCTAGCATCAAAAGCATCTGGAAATTTCCCTTTCAGAGCGCACAACTTTTAATTCTGAAACATTAACAGAACGCTCTACATCTGATAAAGCCTGACAACGAAGATTTAATGCCCATGGACGAGATAGATTGCTTTTAGCAATTCTTACAAATTGAAGCTGAAAGCAGCCGATACGTGGGAAGGCACATTACACTTATAGGTTTATAAATGAATTGTAAACTGATCAACAATTGAAAGAGAATTCAGATAAAAAATCCATTATGTTTTACTATGTGTACTTTTGCAGAATGTAATTCGTCTGAAAGCTGGTGCAATTACTGGAAGAATGAAAATTCAAGAGTGATCACATACACAGATTTACAGTCTAGCCTTCAGCATATAATTAAGCAATATTTATCAATGGTAATGCATTTAAAAGCAGAAATATATACTTTTTCCTAATCTTTCATATACCGTAGAATGTTTCCATTTAAAAAGTTTTTCAATACTTAGCAGGAGTCCCAAGTCTTCCGCAAGATGCTGGAGTCTCCCGAACATCAGGATAGTCTCCCGTACTTTGGAAACCGGACAAGAATATCCCGGAAAATAGCCTATTTCCAGCAAATTCATTAAATCTGCATATTTTACAACTGATTACCCCTTTATAATATCATTTGTCTCATGGAAGTCAGTGTTGATTAGTATCACCATAAGCAGCAAAACAATATTAGATGTGCTAAGAAAGCTTGTTTAAACAGACCTTTTGGAATTGACTTCTTAGGACCCCTGACTTAGAGTGCAGTAATAAGGGCACATCATGACTATATATGGGCACAACATGACTATATATGGGAACATCATGACTATATATGGGCCACTATAGGAGATCCTGCAAATATAGTATTGAAATTCCCACTGTTGGAGAGCAATGCTGGGGCGGATGCAGAGGGGGTGCAGACGGTGCGATCGCACCCCCCCCCCCTAAATTGTATTAAGAAAAATAATTTTTGTATTATATTGTTGGTGTGAATTTACCGGTAAGATTTTTAAGGTATGAGAGTGCAATTTTCAGGCACTTAGAGGTCCATATTCTTAAAATTTTCCTGCCTCGGCCCCAACCATGTTGGGGCTGATGTGATCTTGACATTTACGCTCCCCTTCCTCCAAATCCTGCATCCACCCCAGCAACGTTGTATCTAGGAGTGCACCACATGTACACATATACATGAGGCTGCTGATGGTGTGGGGACCCAGGGTGGAATATGCTTTTGTCAGAGAGGATTCAATTCTTTAGCAAATTGTCATAAAATGCAAAGTTCTTTGTATTATAATTTTACAGTACATTACAGTATTACTGTTCTGACCAGATGAGTAGTTGGTACTGGTTTTACCGAGTAGATCATACATAAAGAAACCCTTAGGGCGGATGCTGAACAAGCTACAGTGTCCACACCTCAGTGCTTTGAGATTTCAGTATAGAGCACTAAGTAAATTCAACTACATTACATTACCTGTATACAGTATAACCTTTTTCAACTATATTCTTCCCTTACCATATGACTTGTTGACTGAGTGGGATTTTTTTCATTGTTGATAGGGCAGACATGATAATCATATAGGGGAGGAAACGAATGTGCATTTAGTGACTAATACAAATTTTTCCCCATTTGTCTCTTTTTATTTAGTTTATTCTTTACATGCTAAAGTAAAATCAACAGTAAAACAGACTAAAGGGCATTATACTCCGACAACAAAACATGTGAACATGTATTAAAAAACTAATAAATAGTAATTTGTGCCAATGAGCTTTACAAATACCTATTAAAGCAAATTGATTTGTTTTTTTTGCTTGGGGGATCTGTTGACCTTGTTAACGAGAACTTGACGGTGAGTATGGTATATCCACCGCACAGTGGCTAATATCATTAGCTAAAGCTTAATGCAGTTGCTAATAGAAATAAACTTCTTAAGAATAAGTATAATCCTGGGATTTGGTACAACAGAACAGCTACCTTTTATATTTTTGCGTAATTAACATACAAATATTGATGTTTTTGTACGTCTAGCTCTGTGATTGGTCTGTACATGATGCAGGCTTAGAAATGTAGTGCAATAAATTTTTTTATTAATTTTTTTAAAAAATGTTATCGTTATATATTAATTATCTTTTATTAGTATTATAATTTTACAGTACATAACAGTATTACTGTTCTGACCAGATGAGTAGTTAGTACTGGTTTTACCAAGTAGATCATACATAAAGAGACCCTTAGGGAGGATGCTGAACAAGCTACATTGTCCACACCTCAGTGCTTTGAGACTTCAGTATAAAGCACTAAATAGATTCAACTACATTACATTACCTGTATACAGTATAACCTTTTTCAACTATATTCTTCCCTTACCATATGACTTGTTGACTGAGTGGGATTTTTTTCATTGTTGATAGGGCAGACATGATAATCATATAGGGGAGGAAACGAATGTGCATTTAGTGACTAATACAAATTTTTCCCCATTTGTCTCTTTTTATTTAGTTTATTCTTTACATGCTAAAGTAAAATCAACAGTAAAACAGACTAAAGGGCATTATACTCCGACAACAAAACATGTGAACATGTATTAAAAAACTAATAAATAGTAATTTGTGCCAATGAGCTTTACAAATACCTATTAAAGCAAATTGATTTGTTTTTTTGCTTGGGGGATCTGTTGACCTTGTTAACGAGAACTTGACGGTGAGTATGGTATATCCACCGCACAGTGGCTAATATCATTAGCTAAAGCTTAATGCAGTTGCTAATAGAAATAAACTTCTTAAGAATAAGTATAATCCTGGGATTTGGTACAACAGAACAGCTACCTTTTATATTTTTGCGTAATTAACATACAAATATTGATGTTTTTGTACGTCTAGCTCTGTGATTGGTCTGTACATGATGCAGGCTTAGAAATGTAGTGCAATAAATTTTTTTATTAATTTTTTAAAAAAATGTTATCGTTATATATTAATTATCTTTTATTAAATTATATTCTTGTTGTTATAAGCATGTGACCCTAGGTCAAGGTTGGTATTTATCTTATAGACAATTATTGAGAACCTACGATGATTAAAGGAGCATAGGAGAGATCTGTGTGCTTTCATAAATTCCATGCAAACGAAATGAGAATAGGTACCTGTTCTGTCTCTTCACTGAAAGGTCTTGTTTATGACTTTTGGTACTATATACACCAGAATAATGCATACCCAAGAAGCTTCCAGTAATGCACGTTGCAGTATAAAAGGGTACGTTCAGACCTGAGATGTCCAGATTGGGCGATTAACTAACGCTAGTGTAAGTATTAGCGCGAAATATTCATATTCGTAATCATGCATTCTATTTTCTATTTTCTAGGCGTATTGTGATTGGTCAAATCCTGGTCGAGCTCAAAATCATTGATGCATGACTGTCGTAACTCAGTGGCGCATGCTAATCTGGGCTCTGTTGCTGGATTGTCATACGCCAGTGATTGCGTGTTAACACTGGCGTTCGCTACACCGCGCACAGGTTCACACAGCTTGATTAACGTTACGCTATTGTAACTCGTTTGAGTCTGAACAGAGCCTAAGTAGGAAACCCCATTAGAAGACTCATGCATAAATGCTAATAGCAAGATTATATACGCCCTTTAAAGGGGACATTAAGCCCGTGGTCGCATGTACATAATGGCTCCTGCGTATGAAATAGAACCGGGTATACAAATCAGCGGCAGGTGATTCTAGTTTCACCAGCAATTTTCTGTCATGTTGTATCTTTCTCTAATTTGATTTGTGTCTCTGATCTGAAAAGGACTACTGTCTCTATTTACGAATGGCGATCACCATTGGCAAATCCACAGCCCACGCAGCTAAATTAAATCACATCAACTTTATATCAAAACATTTAAACTTCTAAATGAGCAATTAAGGGAACGAGGATAAATTTATATTATTTCTGGATGTATGACATGAACCACTAAGGCTTTTGCATTATTGTGACCAATGGTAATGGATTTTGGGGTAAGGAACCTGGCCTGTAGTAGCCAAGGAACCATTTTGCCAAGGAACACAGCTTTGAAAAAGCTCTTTTACTGTCCAAGACATATGTACATTTATTTAAAGGTTTTATTCAGGTGTTTTCTTTTTCTTTACATTGTACAGGTTTAGGCCTACGCACTTTTGATGTAACTGGCTTTCAGTTTTTTATTCATCGTTTGATGTCATGGTATTTTTGGCTTCGTGTATGGATTCACCATCACTGTGATGTGTGCCACTGTTTCTAAAGCGATTTCCAAATAAATAATATTATTATTACTATTACTACAGTATTACTATTAGTACTATTATTATTCTTATTCTTATTATTATTATTATTATTATTCATCTTCTACATATTATTATTGCATTCTTATTGTATATTGTGCTACTTTTTTGCATGGAAAATAAAAGTATATTTGATTTGATTTTGATTTGATTATTATTATTATCATTATTAATATTATATATTTTTCTTAATGTTTGTTATCAGGGATCATGGGCCCCTTGTCAAGAAACATACATCCATGGTTCTGGTTATTAATCCAAATGTTATTGAAAAAAATAATCTAAATTATAGTTTCAACTATCTCCATCATTCAAAACTATTTTTGTCATAGTTTTAAATACTGATGTTTAGGAATTGGTAATTTTAAACATAGATAATAAAATATCAAGCCTGTTTAGTACAGATGGCTCCTATGTACTGTTAATACCATAACATGCAGAATCAAAATTATGAATTAAAGATAGAACAAAAAAAACCCAAAAAACACTCATTTTATTTTTAACACAGCTTCAAGTAAAATACCTGTTCCAATAAAGTAATTTAGGGATGACAAACATTCTTGTGCCCAATTTCATGATGTTTATTTTTCTGAAAAGGTATGTATTATATATTTTTGATGTCTATTTTTAAAATAGATTTATTATGTTCCTGTTATATTGCTAATAAATACTTTATGCTTTGGGCTACAGAGCTCAGGCTTGTAGTTTGCATAATTTATAGCTCCTTTGAAGAGTCAATAGCCGGATGATACGGACAGTGCAAAGTGCTTATAGTAAGTGCATCTATCAAGTTTAGCAATAAACTAGGCCGTATTACCTCCTACAAATTACTGTTTAAAAACGATCCTAAATATAGAAATCATCAAGGACGAAACAAACCTGTACGCAGCCCGCAAGGTTGAGCACCCTCAAACGTCTGCAGCAAAACGCCAGGTTCTTTATAGCACCGTTTGTGAGCTGCGTGCAATGAGACACGTCCAGCCTATCCAGCTCACGACACTGCTGCACAAACTTCTGCACGCCGAGATCTGTAATCTGGTAACACTCAGCTAATGTGACGTCCCTTAAGTGGACATTATTCCCAAGGGCTGCTAAACCCTGGAAAAACAAGACCAAAACAATCCAACTTCATTAAAAAATGTTTTAGTGATTGGATTCAAGTATAATATTTAGAGATAGCTTAATGTTTCCCTCTGGGATATTTTATTCATTATAAGTACGGAAAAAGAATGATAAATTATAAATGTGCAGGAGAAATGTACGGTATACTACAACTGAATGTAAATTATACTGCCTAGAGCAACAAGGATAAAATGACTACTCCTGAAGTATCATAATGAGCGTAGATTTATTCAGAGTAATTTAATTCTATCTAATAAATGAAAACTTAAATATTCAGCAGATGTATTAAGTGTGAAAATGAATTATCAAAGATACGCACATTATTATAATATATCATTAAACCACACTTATACATGTATATCTTGACATGTTTGGAATAAATAATTCAAACTCTTCTGTTGACAATTCTCTGAAGAGAGAGGTACTGCCCAAATATATATTTAATGAAAATCGTGTGATATATGCAGTATTGATTCAACACAAAATTCATTTGAAAAATACAGGCGTCAAACTCTACATCTCATTAGGTTAAAAACTCAACATTCTATTGCACTATATACAGGCTGTTTCATGAGGGGATCCTCAATCATTTAAGTGGTAGGCTATGAATGAAGCCATTTTTGGGGTACTATCTTATCAGTAAGTGCTCAAAAAACACTGTATATACATGGTATACAATAAGCAAACACATAGCATGCATGAATGTATACTAAAATAAAATATATGTATAGTACCAGAAACAAAAAATTTAAAACATTGTTGATGATTTTTTGCGATAAATAAACCATATATTTCTCACAAATATTTTGTGTGCAATCCTAGTCAAAAAATTCTTGAAAATGGTTTACCGGCATGGGCCCAAGAACTGCAAAAACATAGACCACATTGACAAAGTTCAAAGATGGGTATCTAGGAGAATTCTTAGACCCCATTGTGGGTCAATATCATATGAATGTTTAATTACACTTGGTTGGTTATCTCTATGTGATAGGCGACTAGTGATTTAAATTTCGTTTATTTTTCTATGTTTATATAAGGCTGCTTCCTGCAACAGTGTTTCCAACAACATTCAAGTCAACCCGCGTTATACTGAGTCACTTACGTTTATCCATCCTTTTGCTCATACTGATGCTTTAAGATATACATCACCCGCTTAAATTATTTCTATTGAAGTTCAGAAAACACCTCTTTGATAATAGATAAGTTTTGTGTAAATTGCAATTCACTGATTCTGTGCACTATCATTTTAATAATATTTCACTTCCAAAAACCTATCGCT